CACTGTGTATCACAACTGTTCAGATCTGATTTGTGTGTCCCATGCCACTCTTTGGAAAAAAATAAATATAAAAATATTTCCGTAAACTGACATTTAACTGAAATAAAGCTTAAATAAAATAAAATTTCAATATTAGACTTTGGTAACTAACTGAAGAACTAAAATGAGTAAAACTGAAATTTATATAAAATAAAATAAATTGAAGCTAAACAGAAATATTAAAGAAAACTAGTAAAAAAAAATATGGGAAAAGCACACAAAACTATATTAAAAAACTAAGATTAAATTGAGAATAAATTCAAAATATTGAAAAAAAAAATTCAAAAGATTACATTGTATAATAGTAAATTAAAAATACTTAATAACGCAGTCAAACACACAAAAACTGTTTGTGTCCATGTACAATGAAAGTCAATGGGGTCCAAAACCTCATTAAACTTTCACTGAATAGTCAAACACATTTTTCAAAAAAATTTAGTAATTTTTGTTACTAGTTTGATATAATGACAATAGAATTGAAATTCTGGGGTAAACTATCCCTTTTAAATTGACATGAAACAGATGTTGCAATAGTCTTTTCTTCCCTATTGACGTACAGTATCCGAGTGAAACTGCTGCTTCTTCTAAAACGAATTTAGGGCGAATAACGAATTTAACGAATGTATTTTGTCCATCGGGAATTGCTATCCTGTCATCTAGTAGATCCACTTCAACTCAACAGACAACAATAGAATAATTTACCAAGACAAAATATTAGATTTGCATAAAAACTATTTATAAAACATTAAAAGTTCAATAGAACCACAATACGGCCTTACTGTAACATAAAATACAGTAACGCACTTTTGTGGCTTTCGTCAACAGAAACTTAAAAATGAACACACGGACAAGAAATTACAGAAAATATACATATAATGTTGAATTTACATATCTAAACAATTAGGGGTCCATGTAAATAATTCCACAACTAAAATATAAATTAAAATAAATATATTGGATAGCAATAAAGCAAAAAGAATGATCTGATCCTGTACAATAACAATCAGCAGAGTAAGTTGTGTTGTATATGTAGCTATATAGACAACAATGAGGCCTTACAGCCACACTGTAACATTAAATATACAGTAGTAGTTTCAGACACTTCTTAATCAACAGAAAAGAACATGGGAATAAAGGAAAATCTATAGGCCTATCTAAAAATGTCAATGTAATCATACAATGTTGCATTACTGTAAAACAGTATTACCATTACCTTGAACACTTTCTATTCTACATCAAGGATACATGTTTAGCAACACAATAAGGCCTTAGAGACCGACTTCAGAATAAAAAAAAAAGGATAATGCAAGCATATAATCGTATATTTATTAAACATTAGGCGTTTACGTATACACAATGCGCTCGTGCGGAACATGAAGCCCTGATGACGATGTGACATTGTAGCAGGTACATAAGAGGCGGGCCCACATGGAGCATCTGTGAGACTTTATAGGCTCTTCTGAAGACTATATCATATCTGTATGAATGTATAGAATTATACCTGACAGCCACGCGCACTGAGCTCTCATCCTGTCCCGAAGACATGTTCCCGGTCAGGACACAGAGGATAAATATAGCTGATTTTCCTTTTCTTTATCGGCTTATGCAGCAGACAGATAGACACAACACACAGAGCGTCCCTCCCGCCGTCTATTCTGCCATTATAAAGCTGAAATGATCCAAACGGGCGCTCTTTTGACGGGAAAATAATACAAATATGAAGTAAAACATCTCGTGTTCGGCGCAGCACGTTACATGTTTAATGAGCTGAACGGTGAGAGTGAGTGACTGCCCTCACACACACAATCATCTGTCCTCCTGAAGAGCGACTCTCTCCTGGAGTGTGACATCACCAGGCCACGCCTTCGTCGTGCACGTCAGACCACGCCCTAATCTCTACAGCAAAATGACAGGTTACGTGGGACATGGGAAATATCCATTGCAATATATATGAAAAATTTCCAGTAAAGTGGAAATATCTCGTGTAATATACACGTTTTGCTCAATTTATAGTCATTTGTTTATTAAAATATGTATTCAATTTACTTTTGATTAAATTAAATAAATCCTTACATTTCAAGGATCAAAACAAAAGGCTCTCGGTGGTTGGCTGCAAAGATAAATCTTACAGCGCCTCCTTTTGGACACAAATAGAGATTTCTATTACCCAGATGCGAGACGTTCTGTTTGCCAATATTGGTTAAAATAAAGAAACCAAAATATTTAAGAATAAAATGGCAATAACACTATAAAAAAAAAACAAAAATATAAAAATAAAAAAACACAAGTAGAAACAAAACAAAAAAACAAAAGAAAAACAAAACAAAAAAACCCTACAATAAGAAAAGAAAAAAAAAACATAAAAGTAAAACAAAAGAACAAAAAACAAAGCAAAACAAAAGTGTACATCAAAACAAAAGTAAAACAAAACAACACTAAATGATAAAAGAATTGGGAACTGTTTCTACATTTTTAAATTTAATTTCAGAATCAAATTGTGTTAAATCAAATTTAACGTTGAAGCCATTGTTAAAATATTGTTTGACAGACAGACCTACATAAATATTGATCAATAGACAGATATTTAGACAGACAGACAGATATATATATAGATAGATAGATAGATAGATCGAAAAAAACAATGTTTTTGGTAGTATGTATTTTATTCACAGGTCGATTTTTTTGTTTGTTGATTGTTGACATACTTGACAGAGTCAAGCCTCATTCACATATAATTCAACTGTGTGTTTAAAAAAAAAAAAAAACTCCCATATGTGTAAAAACATTACATAGCCAAGGAGATATACAAACAAGTAAGAGTTCATTGTTTTTGTTCTCCAATAGTTTCATAAAATGCACCTCATTACAAGTATATCCAGAGGCCTCTTTGTGTTTTTCCTAACCTAGTGATTTTATCCCCCCACAATCCAGTTCTTCAGCCTAGGTCAGCTTAGGTAATAATGTCATAGGCGATAATGGAATAACAAAAAAGTATTACACTTTTGGGATGATTAAATCCAAACTATCAACTACACAAACAAGTTGACAGCCTGTTGAAATGCATGTTCTTTAAACAAGTAGTGGTGGTTGTGCACAACGGAGATGCTTGAGATTAGCGAACCAAAGAAAACGTACCTCAATCAAATCTTTCTAGGGTTTCCAACAAAACAATAATAAAACATACAAAACAAATGCAGTACTTTAGTATTTGAATAAAAAACGTTTTAAAATGTCTATGTTGTCTTTGATATTAAAATAAACAAAGATAAACATCACAGCTGTTAGACAAACTTCACAGTATATCAGTCTAAATGAAGAGAGACATATGTGCAAAACATTTCATAAGTAAATAATACGGCTTGACTGAGAAACAAATATAGAACATGATGTCGAGCATATCGTTCAGTCTGGTGACCAAGAATCACACATTCTCTAACTGTTTTTTCAGTTATACACAACATAGCCACATCCTGTGCCCTCAGTGTGTGTATCCAGCATATTGTATTTGTTCAGAAAACCAGAACCTTCATTCTTAAACCCAGAGCTCCCCAGCTGACTCAGACAATGACCTATAGATAGTCATGCTTCATTTTCTCTTTCGAGCTCCTTTAATTGATTGCGTCCAAGCTGATTTTGTAAATTACCTACATGACTTTACATGTAACTAAATTGATAGTTTTTAACTTAAACTTTAACTACAAGAAAAAAAGTTTGACCACTATTTACCTATTTATCCTGTTACCACAGGACATGTTTTTGTTTATGTATATGAAGGGAAGTTGTTTAGGTTAAAATATCAATAAAAAGAGTAATATTGTATTACCTAATATTAATAACTAGCTCAAAGAAAGAAAGGGAAGAAAACGTACATCTTTTGAGACTTATTGTGAGCCAACGTAATTTAAACAGCTGAATTCTTGGGTAATTGGTTCAATAAAGTGCTGAAAAGGTATAACCAAAAAAACAAAAAACAAAACAAAAACA